TCTTGTGTCCTGCCTTTTCCACACTTGCATTCTTGTCCTCTTCTGCCCTTTCCCTATGAACAAGGCTTCTTTGTTGTTGGTATCTCTTGGGTTGGAACACCCTTTTGTCCCATGTGCGTTTATCCCTTACTTCCTTACAGGAGTTTTTGGAATCCCAGCAGTTTGATTCTCTTCTGCCTCTGTGGGGTTTGATTCCAATTCTTTGATAATGTTTTCTCAAACTCAATTTTTCTGTATCTGCCTCACAATATCCTCCCTCCTTTTTTTTTTCCTTTCCGTGATTCATCTTCTATCTGAGACTCTTCATCCTTTCCCTGAGTGGTTTTTAGTGGAGTCTTGTCCCTTGCCTTTTTCCACACTTGCATGTTTGTCCTTTTCTGCCCTTTACCTACGAACAAGGCTCTTCTGTTGTTGAGACACCCTTTTGTTACATGTGTGTTTCACTCTAACCTTCTTACAAGAATTGTGCATGGCTCCCTTTTTAAGACATAATGTTTTGGGGGGGTTTTCATTGATTCTTTGAACACCCTTTTGTTCCATGTGCTTTTACCCCTAACCTCCTTACAAGAATTGTGCATGGCTCTCTTTTTAAGATATAATGTTTTGGGGGTTTTCATGACTCTTTTGGAGACCATAGCAAAGTTTGCACACCTCCCATTCCTCATTTGCTTCACATTTGCCTCAATCTCTTCCTGAACCTGTTCCCATGTCTTGTCCCCATCCTTCCTTTCCTTTACCAGTGACTGCTACTCAGATTTCCAAGGTTAACCATCAGTTTATTCATTGATGGCTTCAGTACCCCCAGTGGTCATGGTAACTACATGGTGGGGTTAGGCTTATGCTCTTGGCCACTTTGTGCGAGTCCTTCACCACTGACCCTTCGGTTCTGCGGGTTCTTTCTAAAGGACTTCTTTTTTGTTTTAGTTCCTCTCCTCTTCTATCTATTTATTCAATATTCTTCCCCCTCTCTTCAGGATCCTGTTTCCAGCTAGCATCTTTCCAAGGCAGTTCTAGATCTTTTTCACAAGGGCATTATAAAACAAAATCTTTCTCAGCCAGTTTCCTATTCCCATTTGTTTATAGTCCCCATGATGACTGTGGATTGGTGCCCAGTCATTGTTCTCTTTTCCTTAATCTGCTTCTTAGACCGTCCTCGATTCACCATGGAGTTCTCCCTATCTCTTTGATGGGCTTTCACTCCTGATTTTTGGAAGACGAAGTTAGATATCTCAGATGCTTACCTTCACATTCTTATCTCTCCAGCATCCTGGAATTTTATTTGTTTTATCCCTTGTGGTTATGTCTACCAGTTCTAGTCTAGCTTCAGCTCCCTACGTTTTTTGTCAGGTTGTCAAAGCCTATCCCTGTCTTCTCCATTCCAAGGGCCTTCATTTCCACCATTACATGGATGACTGGCTGCTTCTGGCTCCTTTGCAGGCCACCTCTTCCCTTCACAGTAAGTTTCTTCTTCAAGAGGCTGAACATGTAGGTTTGCTGGTCAAGGTAAATAAGTCATTTCTCTCCCCTACTCAATATCTTATTCCTCTCAAGATATTTTTCAATTCCTGTCTCAGCTGGGCTCACCCTTCTCTCCTTTCACCTGTGATCTATGGAGCTCTGATTTGGACCATTTCTTCCTCCTCTTCTCGAACTGCATGAGAGGTTTTATCTCTTTAGGGATGTTGGCTTCTTTGGAGGGCTCTAATTCCTCTTGATCAAGCGTACATATGATCTCTTCAGTGGGCCTTACGAGATCAGTGGAACCTCATTTGGAATCCCTTGTGTGCTTTCTATCCATCTCCCTCCTTCCTTTCATGTGGACTTCCCTGGTGGTTGGACAGAGAAAACACCACAGTGGGTGTTCCTCTTCTTTCTCCTCATCTGGAGGTGCAACTCTTCATGGATGCTTCTCTTTTGGGTTGGGTGCATATCTGGACATACAGGAGATTACAGGAAATTGGTCTATTGATGATTCATCTCTGTATATCAATCTCTTGGAATTGCTCACTGTCTGTCAGGCTTTGGTTCCGTTCCTCCTCTCTCTCTGGAACCGGTCATCTCAATGGTTGTCTCATATATCACTTAGCAAAGTTTGTTTTGTGTCCATAGCTATCACATTCGCTTGTTGGCATGTCATATACCGGATACCCTGAATCTGGTTGGGGATTGTTTATTGTGCCTTGACAAGATTCTCCACACATAGTGTTCTATCAACTCACAGATGATCAGCTGGTTGTGTTTCCAATGGAGCACTTGAGTACTGGAAGCAATTGCCATCAACCTGAATTCCAAGCTTCATAGGTTTTGGTACTCAGTTTCACATAATTTGGCTGTAGCTGTCGTTGCCCTCAGACAGGATTGGGGACCTCTACCTCTATGCCCTCCCCCCCCCCCCATCTGTCTTTTTCCTTGTATCCTCACTGTCATCCAAACCACTCTGTGTTACGTCCTCTTGGTGGCACCACTTTGGCCAGTGCAGCCATGGTTTCCATTTCTGTACCTGCTTCTACTGACACCTCATCTTCCCCATCCTTCTCAGACAACCTCCATCAGGTGTGCTACATCCTTCCATTCCAACATTCTGACTTCACTTGTGGCTTTTGTCTGGTCCATTACTGGATGGGCCAGTCTTTCCCCAAGGGCTGCTTCTCTGATTTCCCGTTACGTTTGCCCTTCCTCCAGGTCAGTTTACCAATGCAAGTGACATGTTTACTGCCATTGGTCTTCTCATCATGATTTTTCTCTGTCCCATCCTTTCTGCCCTGCGCCTAACTTCCTTTCTTACCTGACTTTTCGACAAGTGGCTTTTGGTATTCACCATTGCTGGTTATCACATGGCCATGTCAGTCATTTTCTGTTTCACAAGATGTTTGACATACCTTCACTTCTCTGGTTCTTACCCTATTGTTTTGTTTCTTCTTTGCCATCCCCATGCCCTACTTCCCTCCCCATTGGAATTTCAGTGTTGTCCTTTATGCTGTTACATTTCCTCCCTTCGAGCCCATGTCTTCCTGTTCCTTATATCATATATTTTTAACCCTATTGCCATGGGTATCCTTTACTGTGCATGACACAAGTTTTTGTGTCTTTCATTCAAAATTTTATTAAACTACTTTTTGTTTATGTTATACCAATTAGTATAGCATAAAACCATAACTAATAATCCATATTTTAAGAGTATATAAGTTTTAAGTTCTTAATTCTATAAGGCAATATTTAGAAAAATCATGAATTTCCCCTAGTGTGACACGTGACACATTTTCTCTAGGTATCTTCTCTTCTTTATTTTATCCACCACCCCTCCAGTAGCCACGAAATTCAACATAAATTACTCACTATAAAATCTTCATTGATTCATATGGTACTTCTTAAAGTACAAAATTGTTCTTCTTGAATAAATACATTAATTATGCAAAGATAACTTTGTAGTGTTTACTTCACATTTTATATGGTTTCAGGTTTAGTTTTTTTATTAATTAAGTAGGATTGATGCTTAATTATTATTATTTATTGTGTGTGTATTTTATTTTGAACCATTTGTGAACTAAGGGAAAAGCAGGATTCCTGTGTATATTGTTTATTAACATGAGTGTAGAAATATGAATACACTTAATTTCTGATGCTAAGTTATATGCTTTAATTTCTATGTTAGTTACTAATGATGCATTGAATCAGTGAAATAATGGTGATCTAAGGGTTGAAAAAAAACAACAATGGTACAGAAAAGATTATTTCTTAAGATATCTTTTTAAAAAATGGTGTTGATGTCTGTTACTTATGCAGGCCTATATACAGAATGTTTGAAAGGGGGGGGGGGGTTCTAATTTGAGAGATCAAATGCCAACACATATTCTGAGGAGCACAATCAGCATGCAAAGTATGCTAATACTATGGAGGCCTGGGGAAATGCCCTCCCAGAAAATTTGTAAAAAATAAGTGCTATGAGATTAAATCTGGAAGCAATGTTGCATGAAATATAGCTTAAACAATTGTATGGCTGTTCATATAAAATCCATAAACATCTAATGAAAAGTTAACAAGTCATCATTCTGTTTTATTATATTGAAGTACTGTACTATCTACATGCAGAGTAGTTATTAATTGTTAAATTATATTACTAATTTAAACAACTCTATATAACAATAGTATATTAGCTATTTCAATAATTGGCTGTCATATACTTACATGTATGCACTACTGGAATAATGTTAGCATACTCCATTCTTCTGGGGTGCTTTTCCAAATAATTTACATACAGTTCCAATGATATTGCAGTGTCATAATGATTATTTACTAAATGTAGAGTACTCAGTCTTTCTGTTGTTTGTGTAAACCTCAAGTAATTATTCAACCAGTAGATAATAGATGTCAAACATTCACATTAACATGAACTTAGTGGCAGTGTGGCAAAGAGTTTCAGTAATATAAAGATGTTTGGTACACTGAAACATACTTTTAAGCAGTCAGCCAGTATCTGAGGCCTGTCCTGGAGAAGTATAGAAAACCATTTCTGTCTTCCATCGATGAAGTTCTTCATAAAAAATATCAGGATTTGACAAATCTTCCCTGTAAAAATTTGTTTTTACTTACTGAACACCCCCTTCCCCCCTTTATGTATAGTCTGGTTTTGAAAATTTAATTTTCTGGAAGTGAAATAACTTTTTACTTGAAAGAGTTTAATTAAAACGTTTTTACTATCAGTTACAAAGTAATTACAAAGCAAAACTGCCAGTCAAAAATAAGTGGAGCAACATACAAAATGTACTGACAACTGCTAACTGCTGATCCTTAAATTTAAGGTTTAAAGTTTGACTTTTTCTGATAAGCTGTAGAATTTTTGTTCTAGTAATAAGGATTCTATAAATTTTGTGTTGTATTAAATGAAGCCTATTTATGTTGAATTTTAAAATTTCTTAAATTATGCATTAAGTATTTTTAGTTGTACAAAACATAAAATGAGCATAAGAATTTGAAAATATTTATTTTATTTTTGTTTTAAGGTGACATCACTAAATCACAACAGCCTAGTGAGGATCAGTTGGAGAAAGAATGGGAAGATGTGTCGGGAGATCTGTCTGCTGTCTTACAGGGACATAAAAGAATAACTAGTGATGTTACGCCATTTGATGCAGCCAGTGAAAAGAGCCTCGAAGATCAAAAGTAAGATTTATTTCATATTATAAATGTTACTTAGAACCATCATTGAATAGAATATTGTTACAACTTTGCCAGAGAAAACAAATTGCAAGTTTATATGGCTTTTGACTTGAGTATTACAAGTATAGTGAAATTATACAGAGTTAAACTGATATGTTTTTCAAAACCTAGTATATAACATGTTTAAGGTTTATAATTTTTAGTATTAGGTATAGCTTTGGCACAATGATCAGACATTTTTCTGGATAAATGCACTTTTTATAAGTCAGTTTTATTTATATCACATTTAAATCACCAACAGGAAAAAAAATTAAGTTTTCAAAAAATTAAATCATGATGATGAATATTTTCATAAATCTTAAAATGTGCAAAATTTATGATACTGTACAGATATTTATATTAAGTGAGAAATTAAAGAGTTTTTATATATATAAATATTTAAGTACAACTTAAGCTTTTTTTTTATAAGGGGCGATGCAGTGATAAAAATTCAAAGAGTACTTCGAGAGAATAATGCAGCAGAGTCTGTAGCTCTCTATCGAGCAGCAAGGTAAAATATTTTTTTTATCATTGATTGTGTAAGTGCATAAAATTATCAAAAAATTTATTCTAACCTCACATATGATTTGTATTTTATTATAACCCTTTTTTTAACTTTGAAATACTTAAAGAATTTATGAAAATCAAACCTTTGTTTAGCTACGGCATAGCAGCTTATAGAATGGCTGCTAGTTTTTTCCAGTACGAACTTTTAGCTCATAGCTCTATCTCTTTACTAATTTGAGATCTAATTGCAGCTGTGGCTATTGAGGATTCCCTCTTGTTTTTCATTTACATGATGTGCTAGTATAATTATATACACTACAAAACATTTTCAAAACAACTATATTTCAGCATGTTGCCATCATAACAATTGCATAAAAATGATTGAATAGCTTTTATTATAAAACTATACATTGTATGATTATGAATTAAAAAGTGTTTATGGTGAACCATATAAATGTTTAGCATGGCTTTAAACAACAATTAGTAGAATACAGTGGTGATAATCTGTTACAAGGGCCAGTTCTCACGTGTATTTTCAAACATTATAGCAGGTTCCAAAGTACAAGAACCCTTTACATTTAACAGGATATATTGAGGTGTAAAACCAGTAAATTGAATATGATATATTGAAGTGTAAAACCTTTAAACTGGTAAATGGGAAAAACTTTTTTTTTAACTTTTTTTACTTCTACTTGGATGAAAAATCACTCGCTTGACAGCAGAAGTTTGTTTTTACCACATTTTTTGTAGTAAAGCTGTTATGAGTTTCAAACCAGAGGTGTGAAGAAATGAGAAATATTTCTTTTAGGTTATGAAATGTGAGGTTATTTATGTCCTTTTGTAGCTTGATTGATTTAATTTGTTTTACTAATACTGGTAATGAGGGGGAGAGGGAATGAAATGTTCGAGTAGCATTTCTTATAAAGGCATTACTTATTGTCATTGTTAATAGCTAATATGGTCATCTAAGTATAATTACTTATAAGTTACTAACAGAGTTGAAATCCTGTCAATATTTATCAGTACCCAGTACTTAGACTTATTTTAAAATTAGTACTGAGTACTGAGACTTATTTGATCTACTTTTCATCCATTTCTCATACCTTCTATCACACTGTCAGATAACAGACATGTCACAGCTCACAGAATCTTAACAATCATTAAATATTCAAATGAACCAATATTAGGCCTAACAACATTAATTATTGTTGGCAACACTATGGTCAGAAGTTATATAACAGCTTTGATGTCAATCATTATTAAAGTAATCAGGTGGTCTCATCTGGCTGTTTGATTTGTATGATTGGTAAATAACGATAAATATATTCAAATGACATATTTTATCCGTCCTTGATATTAATGTGTATAATGTCCTTTTGTCAATAAATGGCATGAGAAGCAAAAAAAAAAACATTTGAGGTAAGTTTACAATTATGAAATTTTTAATTTAGTTGCTTGTCAAAACAATGGTTGTATGTATTTTTCTTCAATAAACTATATCATAAATTACATATATGAGTAAAATCCTTTGTTTTAGGCACATATGAAAGTACATTTTTTCTTAAGAATTTTAACCTCTGATTACTAGGATAAAAACTACTCAGTAATTAGTAACTGTTCATGATGGAAAGTTTATATATATAGGCACACATGCGTACATGCATAAATTATTTGCTTGAAAGTGTGAGTTTAAGTTTATTGACTTTGAGAATAGTACCATGTACTGTGTACCAAAGATAAACACAACAAAGGTATGTAGAACTGTATATCTTTTTTTTCTTTCATTTGTTATAAAAACAGGTGGAATTTATTTTGAATACTATTATTCATACTTTTAGAAATATGAATTAATTTATCCATACTGGTTAAGTATCCTATAAATTCACATATTTCAACTAGCTGTAATAAAGCCTGTGTGAAGTGTCTTTTTTCTATGTTTTGTTAAAATGATTTCTGATTGTTGGATATACATGCTGCAATTTTCAAATATGGCTGAAAATAATTACAAAACTAGTTTGATTGCTAAAATTCTGGATATCCAGGCCTCCTAATGTGTCTTATTTTCCTAATTTTCCCTGTTTTTATGAGGCTCCCTAGTTTTCCCTTATTTTTATGTAAAAATCCTATTTTCTTTCTACTATTTTGGTTTAGCTCAACATGAAATACAAAATTTGTCACAAAAACACATAGTTGTATTATGAGTGTAGATTAACTGCCCCGATTATTAACTTAAGATAGCAGTGTGTTTCAGATAGTTTGCATAATTTATATCTTCTTGGTAGCATCAGACAGATATAAAATTTACTAAGATAAGCTAATTGTTTTCTCTGCTTTCTGATAAGTCACTTTAGAGTTAACATAATCTTCATCTCATTGAAGAATAATTGAGGGATAATCAAATGCTCCTTTTGCCCAACACATTTTAAGTTTTCAAGTTGAAGCATGTACACCAGCTTTTCTTAAGTTGTTCTTTTTTGTCATGGCTAATGTTTGTGTAAGTTTTAGCTGCACAGTGTTTGATTTTTTTGTGTGTGAAAGTGTGCATGTCTCTGACAGTTGTGTCCTGAAATAGCTAGACCCTAATAATTTTAAAAGACATTATTATTTTCAAATTTCAAGGTAATCTAACATACATGCACTTGGTGTTGTATTGCTTGTGTAATATATGTGTACATAGCAGTGTTGCTTGAGACTTGCATCTTTAACAAGCCTTATATTTTCAGAGCAATGTAGAAAACTAAAAATATGATTTTAGCACCAAGGCTAACCTGTGCAGACAGCAATGTTCATGAACTTTCTTGTTGGTGTCAACTATTGCCAAATGATCAGTTTCTGTAGTATTTGTCAAAAGAAAGTACTTTGTGATAATAGTAGCAAACAGCATCACTTGAAACATGCACAGGGAGATAAACACAAAGGATTGGCTAAGGTGAAGCTTAGTTCTAATTATCAAAAACTGTCCTACAGAAGAGAAGAGAGAGTGGAAACAAATACAGCAGCAGTACACTTTGTGTCAGTTCTTGCTTATCTAGCTTTCAGATTTAGAAGAAACTATTGAAATTCAGATTTGATTTAAGAAAAAAAAGATTAGGTGTAGATATTTAGGGACATTTCTTAATTTCCCTGAAATGGGTTCGAAGGCTGCCTTGAGGGTTCATCTGTTTTAACCACTCCCACAGTAGTGTTTTGTCTGTCAGTCAGTCAGTAGATACTAAAATGATGTTATATAAGGGACCCTTAATGTTGCAATTTGTACTGTCATGATATCAATAATGTGTATATGCCATAAATCACAAGAAGAATTACACACTCTGTAGGCTACAACACAACATGAAATGTGAATTTCAAAAGCAAGAAATAATAATAATTGTTATTCTTAATTTTGGTTTTATTTATTCTTGAAACATTACAATTTTGGAGGCCTTGTGGAAGTACATCTAGTGCTCTAATAGCTATGTAAAAGCCCCCCATTGGCACAGCGCTATGACCGTGGACTTACAATGCTAGAAACTAGGTTTTGATACCCGTGGTGGGCAGAGCATAGATTGCCCATTGTGTAGCTTTGTATTTAACTTCAAACAAACAAACAAAAAAGCTATGTAAAAGTAGGTAGTTGCGTTAAAACATGCAGGTAAGTACCTACTTTAAAAAAAATGTTGCCCTATTAAAGACTCTACCTTGCTGAGGGACCTCTTGGAAGGCTTGGGATATCCTAAACTGCTTTTAGTCCCATCAGACTGAATTTAGAATTAAAGATGAGTAAGATGTTTTATTACTAAGGACTTTCTAAAAACAAGCAAATTTCTAAAGTATGAAACTTTTAATTGCTTATAATATGAATATTTTAATGTAAATTAATGGGATTAGCTTTTCTCATTTATTCATAGTTTTTCTAAAATGAAATTTCATAACTGGCTTTACATTTGTCTTTCCCTCTAATATAATAGCTTAATTTATGATAAATATATCTGTGCATCTTTGCACATTTAAATCTTTTATGTTCTTTATTAAATTGCATTTAGATCTGTTGATAATATATACAGATGGATTATGATAATTACACAAGTTTCACTAAGAAGAGTTAAAAATAGTAAAGCTTCTTGGGATCAAGATTTGTATTGTATGAGCATATGAATAAAACTGAGTTTCTTTAAACAAAAAGTATATTATTTGCACTCAAATAATAAAACTTTAGATTGCTGCTTTTTTTATATTTGTCACTGGTTCTTGTACTGTTCTTATGTGTAAACTTTTCAAAAGTCATTTGAAGTAGTACATTGTGTTCTTAATGTTTAAAAGAATATTGTAAAATGCTTCAAAATGTTTATTGATTAGGTTTAGTAAATGTGATGAAGTATCACCTATGACAGAAAATGTTTATATTGATATTTTTAATTAGGTCCAGAGATAGCATAAGATGTAAATTATAGAGAAGGCTCAATTTCAGTAAGCCAGAATCTTTATATACTAGGTATAATCCTTGTTCTTGATCCAGCCAATTACATGCAAGCACAGGTTTTGTCAAAGTATGTAAGGAAACCAGGTGGGGTAATGAGACTGACTAACTGATTAATAAGACACTGATTACTTTTGAATAAACTGATTCTTTAAAGTAAAAATTAAATTTAGATATTTTTATGGGGAATGTACAGTTAATATGTATTTAGTTGAGAAATGTGACCATATCATTAACACTATTCAAAAAATGAAATTTAATACTCTTCTTACACACATTTTGAACATGTGTTTGCACAGAAGTTATTATAAAACTGTGTTTATAGAAATAATATTTTATAGTGGAAATGTAGAAAATATAATATCTAGACAAGTGTTGTAAGTGTTACTTATAGCAAAAATTAGCACTTAGAGTTGCCACTACCTCTGTTATTATAAGATATAAAATTGTTTTTAAAGTGCTTGACAGTCAGTTGGGCTACTAGCTAAAATTCTCACACTTGTGCAAGAAAGTAACATGAGAGCTAACAGTAAAGATGTAAAGTTTTACACAAGTAAGAAATTTTGTACTTGCATACATAGATTTGTTACATGCCTTTTTCTCAAACACAGAGAAGGCACTAATTGCTGTACATCAAAGTTCTAATTGGTGTATGTGTATACATTTCTTTTTGTTATAAAAATAATTTTTGCTTTGATTACAGACATACATACAAAGATTACTTATATTTCCTTCTTTAAAATATATAACATATTGTTTTGACTTCATTGACTTTAAATTTTGTCTGTATCAGCACCTTCCTGTTAATAAGACAGGTCTATCCGAATCTAGGTAGCAAGGAAAGAGAAATGTACATTAAATGTTTAAAAAAATAGGTGTCAAGATCTAGGCAAGGTTAGCAGATTATCTCCTAAATCATAATTATATAATTATGCTGTAAACTACAATGTTGAACAATGGAGTTCTTTTATACTTAGAAATTCTGTGGAAACTAATTTAAATATTCTAAGAAAATTACTTTCATATAGAGAATTGTGGCCAGAAGGCAATGTTTTTGGAACATCCAATATGAAACCTGAGGAAGAGTTTATGGCTTTACGAGAGATCTTCTTCACATCAATTCCAGGTAAGTACACTAAATGAACACTACTTTTAAAATATTTTGTTTCATGTATTGATTTAAAGTAGATAAATGTATTACTTATGTTGAGAGCAAGAAGTGAATACTACTTAAATTATGGTTAATCAGAAGTGAAGCCTGAACCTATGAAAAAAATGTGAAAGGCTATAGTGTATCAACAGAAATATATCCTGCAGTTATAAGGTCATTTTGTTTATTTGTGTGCTCTTTATGTTATAATTGGCATTAAAACAATATGCCATTTTAATACTGGAGTTGTTAACATAAGGTACATTAATTTTTCATTGTCATCAAGATTTCTATGTAACACTACTAATATAACAGTGAAACAAGAAAAAGGAAGTCAAATTCTGAAGAAAAATCTTGGAAAATTGGAAAATTTTCTAAAGCATTTTTGCAGCAACAAAAATGATAAGATAAGCTTGTCTTTGTTGTTACATGTCTAACCTCCACATTAGCCTATAGTTTATTTTATTTATATGTGACATTAAATCCCATAATTCTTGGAGTAAAAAGTGAAGTGCGTCAGTAGTGCGTGTATTATATCTACAAAGTACACCTAAAAGAAAATATGCTTCACACAACTATTTGAAATGAATATTAAATTTAAGCACTTTATAATGCTGCTGATTGTATTTTGCACTAACAGGTTTAGAAGTTTATTGTAAATGGTGGATTGAAGGACATGAGTCTTTCTCAGAATATAAATTTCACTCTGGTGATCATGATGAATTAAGGACAATGTGAGATGCAAGACAATTACACAGACACAATGATACAAATGTGTTCTAATATTTCTGTGTTGTGGAATACTGGAGTTCAATTCATAGCATTACAGCACTCTGTTGGCAGTTTTTCAAAATTGATTTTTTTATATAGTTTCATGATCTCTATGATGGTTTCCTCTAAGGATATTGGGATCTGAAATGTTGATACTTATTCCATCTGTTTCATTAGTATGTGTTTTTTATAAAAAATAAATGGGTAACTTTGTATACTTTTCTTTTTAGTTGATATTTTCATTAAAGCTACTGCTGTAGTTGGAGGAGTTTATTGTTAAATATTAACTTTAGTAATCATTATTTCTAAAAAACTAATTTTTCTGCATACTGTTACTAAAATCTTTATTTTTTACATTAGAAAAATGCTCAACAATATTTTTTTTCACAAATTTGATTTTGATAAGTGTTAAAATTTGACTTTTTTCATTATTCCAAGTTAAAAGCAAATTTCTTGATAGTGTAAGGTATTTCTTGTAGTGAATATAAATATATATTAATGTGGGCTGAACTGGTAAATGTTTAAACATTTTTCTAAACTAATTTAAACCACCGTTTATATAGGGTGCTACTAATTTCAGTATAGTGAATTTCAGACTAAAGTTTGTAATTGAAAATTGGGTTTGCCTAAATGCTCAGATTATGAATGTTTGTTGAACTAAGATTTGAATAACATTATAGGCTTAACAAAGTATAAATATAAATATCAAAATATCTTACAAATGCACTGTAGCTGGTCTTAAATTTATAACACTTCAAACATTTATCATTTTTAAAAACAAAGTTGGGTGTAAAACAAAATCTGATTTAAACATGCAGGGGTTGTTCTAGGTAAGAAAAAAAAATCTGTATATTGTGATTTTATAGACCTATGTGTATGTATGCATATATAAGAATGTACTAGGAAGAATGATTACTTTATAATGCTGTTATAAAATATTCTGTATGAGAAATAATAAAATGTATTTTTTAGCTCAATATATATATGATTAGGGATTTGTTGACATGGAAACACGTATGCCTTCCATTAAGTATTGTAATACCACAGTTTTTTTATATTTCTCAATTGGGGGCATGTTTCAACAAGAAGTTTGAAGGATTCATATGCTGTATTTATGCATGCACCTTTAAATAGAGGTGGCGTAAAAATGTTTTGGATAAGAACTTCTGATAATGGTTAAATTTACTTTTCATTGAAATGTATATTAGGGATATTGGGCTAATAACTGAAATGGTAATGAGAAAAAACAGTTCTCTCAAATTCAGCATGATTTATTTTTACATTTACGTTATAATTTATGATGCTGTGGTATGACAGAATAAAAATAAAATTAACACTTGTAGTACTTGCAACATTTTTTTATTTGACATCTGATATTCACAAAAAATATGTTATTTTTTACAGAATGGTTTATGTTCAACTTAGTTACATATAGCTTTCATATTAATGGTAAATAATAAAAATTAGATTGGAGTCATATATTAACATTTTAATTTTAGTGGGTGACAGTTTCTCTGCATGCATTCATCCATAATCATGACTGTTCATGACAGGTAGAGATTGAAAACAAAAGTATGCATGTAAGAGAGTAAAATATAAATTTCTGTAATGATTTGAAATCATACATTTATATATTCATATCTATTATCACTTCTACTGTTTTAAGTTAAGTTTTCTATATAAGTAAAGTAATATATATATATTCTTTTGATAAAATACCAGGAAGCACTTTACAATATAATTTTTGTTGTTTGATTTGGTCATTTAGACTGAGCTATATTATGTCTGAAAGAAATAACTCATAAGCTGTACATTAGAATATAATTCATTTTCACATTCAATCATAAGCTGGCTATATTATATATATATGGTCATTGTGTGTGTTGGAGTTAAGTTTTCATGATTCTGTTTGTAAGATGTAAGTGGACATAGTATTTGAGAAAAAGTACACCATTGGTATTATTTATATATAAACTAATCTCTTTCATCCTAGACATGCTGTTATGAATAGAAATGTTTCAGTACAACACAAACAAATGGGATGTATTATACAGAGTGCTATATATTTACAAGAGTAGCTTAGTGATTTTAAAATTTAAGAACTGATTTAAGTGAATCTGAGAGAGTTTTATGACAAATCTCACCGCTACATTTTTACTTTTCTTTAAACCAGAGTACACAAACATAGTACCTCAACCTTCATTTAATGGTAAAATAATTAAATATGATGAAAAAACCCAAAAAATACTTATCTAACATTATCTCATTTCTGTTGCTACTGTTACATTTTCTCCCAGGAAGGAGCTTTAAACTGAGATGTTTGAGGAATACATGTTTTTTAAGGATATAAGTGATTGTTACATTTTTGATAAATGAGTATGGTATTCCAATCAGCAATATACATTCTGCAAAAACCCACAGTACAGGTAAGATAGGTCTTGTGACTAGTAAGTGTCATTTAACAGTCATAATATACACAGATTTTATATTTGATTTAAAGGTTGAAAATAACTCAATTAAGCTATTCATTAAAGTCCAAATGAAAAACCAACAATTTTGGAGATATGTGTTACTATCAGGTTTTACTTTGTTAAATTTGTAAGTATACTCTTTTAATTATGGGTGATAATTAGAGAAAAAGTTTTGTGAATGAGAATATAGTTTTAAGTATTAATTATTGATAATGTTGAAAATTACTACTGTATTAAGTCTGCTAATGTTGATGAAAGACAAAGAATACAACTGAGATTAATACTTTCAAACTGAGCTTTCTAATAACAATACTCTGCTCTTTTTATTTTCTTAATTTAATAACATTGATATAAAATAAATGTTCTTAAAATATTAAGTTTTGTTTTAGTGTATTATTTTCGCAATTTGCAGGAGCAGAAAAAATGCCAATCACTTTTTTTTTATGAATTGGCAACACATAATTTACTGTTACCATATGTCAGTTATATATAATCATACATTTTATATTTGTGAAAAGCTGAAAATTATTATTAGATGTGGAATACACTGTATACTTGAATAAATTATAAATGACTTAGTATTACCATTCTGTTTATAATTAAAAAGTGTTTGGACAGATAATTAAAAGTAGGCAGGTGTTTGGAATTGTATGTTCACAGGTTTAAATTGTTGACTCTTGAAAACATAAATTCTGGAATCAAAGTCATATGTATTATGGGCAGTTTAAAGAACTGAAATATAGTGGATGCACTCTTGTTTGCTGGTTTATTTCTGTTTACAAACAATGTAAGTATATGAGTGTGTGTGTGTGTGTGCTGAGTATCAAAGAGAGTATTTTGATTATTGAACAAAACAGGTCTGTGCAATACTTTTGTTTCTTAAATTTTGAATCTGTTTTGATTTTAGTGAATTACTGCAAAATTACATTTACTCTTAAATTAAACCCCAGTTTAACATGTCTTATGTCTATAAAGTACTTGTTTGAAAATAACTTCTTAGTCACAGTCAATAAAACTAGTCATTACTAGAACAAAAATATTGATTAAAAAATGTCTTCAAGTTTCACTATTGCTAGTTAAAACAATCTAGAAAAAGTAAAAAGATGACTGTGTTTCTTATTCTTAACACACACCTTTTCTTATTCTCATTAAACACATACCTTTGGCACAGTTGATTTAAATTTGTTACTAGAAAGACCCAATTAAAATCTAAATAAACTACAAAGTCCAATTATGAAACAGGTTTCTTCTAGTAAAGACATTTGATAAGATATAATGTAAAATATATTCAGTAGTTTTTTTTATGGAATTGTATTAATTTTAATGAATTTTGGTTACATAAGCTACTTCCTAGATTGCATTATTTTTTCTGGTGCGTATATCACCTAAGTATAATGAGAACTGAAAACTGTGTTCATAATTGTGTGATGATATATTATATTGTGAAAAAAATTAAAACATTGTATCCCTATCACAAAATATAACAAGTTATATGCAAGAAGAAGATTGTGATTCAATTCAAACAACCAATTTAAGTTATGATCCTACATGCCATTGCAGCCATTTTGTGGGGATGTCTTAAATTTATCAAGAAAATATAAATAATGATATACATGAAATGAAATATTATACAACTGATAAAATTTAACAATACAGTCCATCAGAAATAGCTTTCTGCTTTTGATGAGCTTCATAGTTTTCAATTTATATGAGATGCAATCCTGTCACTTTGGT